TGAAATATTGTGGGATCTTTTAAAAAAAAAATAACGTGACTTTAAAAAACAAAGTGCATCAATGGTGCCATCATTGCAAGAGCATATTTTTTGAGCCAATACTGCCAACTGCTTTAAAGACTCTTTTAGACCCTATACTAGTTACAGAATGGTGGACAGAATGTTGTTCTAATGCCTGGTGTTTTCTTCTCAGCTGTCATTTTTAAATAATCTCTTAACATCTTTTTTCCTCTAGAAACAGCAATATTTTTGTTTTGGTGCATTATGTCCTCACTGAACCCTCTGAGCTAGGTACTATCATTAGCCCCATTTTACAGATATGAAACTGAGGTGCAGAAATAATAAGTAATTTGCTCACAGACACATAGTAAATGGCAAAGTCAAGATAGGAATCCAGGCAGTCAGAACCCCCAGCTCTTCCTCTTAAACACTGCGGCACGCTCTGAGCCTTTCTCTGCCTCACTTTTCTCCTGGTGGTTGTGACGATTAAATAAGATACGGAGCTCAGGCAAGGGAGGCATTGGTTCTGTCGTTATCTGTTTCCGTATTGTTTGATTTGTTGTAACAAACACGAATTATTCATGTATTTTTGTAATCAAGAAAAAAAAAAATGAGGCCGCCTCGGTGGCTCAGTGGGGTTGAGCATCTGACTTGGTTTCGGCTCAGGTCATGATCTCAGGGTTGTGAGATTGAGCCCCCTATTGGCTCCTTGCTGGGCGTGTAGCCTGCTTGAGATTCTCTCTCTACTCCTCCTCCTGTCCCTCCCCACCTCTCTCTCCCTTTTAAATAAATAAATAAATAAATAAATAAATAAATAAATAAATTCTAAGGCCTATAAGACTCCCTGGCATAGAGAGGCACCTGATAAAGTTGTTGTTATTACATCTGAAAGCAAAGTTCTAGAGTTTCCACTTGACCTAGGAGGGATTTATGAGCTCTGGAAGCTTGGTTGTGAAGGGAAGAAATAAGATAGGGCAATAGGCAGAGAAGAATTCGGGTTAGAGGTTTCTATTTTCCAATGAGAAGGGCTTGTATTTGCTAAAGTGAGGGGTGGGAAAAGGGGGAGGGAGAGCAAATCGGTTAAGTGAGTATGAGAACCAATGGAGTTAAGTCCCAAGGAATAGGGGGAGAGGGATAGTCCTAGAACCTTGGATAAAATAACTTACCTTGAAAAAGGTTAACATGACTTACCCGTTAGTAGATAAGGCCCATTTTTTTGAGCTCATCGAGGTAACAAAAATAACAAGATCATTTTGGAAAATGAGAAGGAGATGAAAAGAACTCTATGGTTTTATTTATCTGCCTGGTTCTGGGCAATGTGCGAATAGGTTTTCTGAAGAGGAGCCAACAGTTTATTTTTCCATTTGTGGGTTACGATGGTAAAATGATTGTCGGCAAAAGAACATCTTTTCAAGTGTCTTCCCTTGGTGTAGGTCGGGGGTCAAGAAGAGGAGGTATTTCTGCAGCTGGGAGCAAAGTTCAGAACTGTCTTCCTGGAATGGGCTCTCATTTCAGAGTCTAAAATAGATTTGAAATACTGTGCTATTTGGGAATTGGAGCCTATTCCTTCTAAGCACATCTGTTGGTAGCTGTTGAAATTCAAATAAATTCAAATAAGGTCCAAGGAATGCTCATATTACACTTACCGATTTCAAGGAGCATTTAAAAAACACATCCAGAAAACCTACACTAGTCACTGACGGTACCAAAGACACAAAGCCTTGATTTTCTGCCAGCCATAGTTATTCTGAGCCCAAGCCACAACATTTAATTTCTTTAAAATGCCCCTTTCTCCCTACCTGAACTTTTCAACTGAGATTCATTTTTATTTCCAAAAGTTTAAATATGAACTGCATCACAAAGTCGTGTATTTTGATTTTGATCATTCTGCAGCCTTCACTAGGTGAAATGAGGTTGTTGGACTATTAAAGTCAGAAAGCCAGGATTGAACAGATGCATTTTCCCCTGTCTTTTCTCCAGTTTTAGTAAATGAAAATTTTCATTTCAGTGTTAGAATTAAGGGAACTTGGTATATCTATTTATTTATACACAATTCCATTTTAGAAAGAAATCAGGGCATCTCTAAAAAGGCAAAGACGGGGGCACCTAGGTGGCTCAGTTCGTTAGGCATCTGACTTTGGCTCAGGACATGATCTCAGGGTCCTGGTATCAGTCCTGCATCGGGCTCCCCATCAGCGATCAGCAGGGAGTCTATTTGTCCCTCTCCCTCTGCACCCCCCAACTTGTGCTTGTGTGTGTGCACACACACACACACACACACTCTCTCTCTCTCTCTCTAATAAATAAAATATATTTTTTAAAAAGGCAAAGACAGGACAGAAAAATACAGAGAGTTCTCTTTTTCATTAAGCCATGACTCTCTGTAAGGAAATGTGATCTACCAAATATATTGGAAGAAATAAAAGGTTTTGAGTTTTTCTTTTTTTCTTAGTAGTTGAAATTTTGACTAGAATTTCAAGTAGCATATTCATATGTCATCACCTGAAAGTTTAATGTTAGAAGTAGATACCACACCAAGTACATTACATGAATTATCTCCTTTAGTTTAAACCTCATAATTACCCACCCTATGGAGTATTATTATTTCCATCTTATAAATGAAGGTATCCAAAGATTAAAAATAAGCAGTTCGCTCAAAGTCACACAACTGAGTCAGAATTCAAACCCATGTCTGTTATTCCTGGTTATTAACTCCTAATCTAAATTATGTCTGTTATATGGAATGCAGTAAAGGAGAAGATGAAGGACCATAAAAAGAAATCAAAATGTATTAGGAGTTGTAAGACATAAATTCACATGTAAAAAATGAAGACATTTGTCTAAATTCAGGCAAACTTTTAAAACAAGTATTATGGTAAAAATAAAGCATCAGGGGGCACCTGGGTGGCTCAGTTGTTAAGCGTCTGCCTTCGGCTCAGGTCATGATCCCAGGGTCCTGGGATTGAGCCCCACATTGGGCTCTCCGCTCCACAGGAAGCCTTCTTCTCCCTCTCACACTCCCTCTGCTGTGTTCCCTCTCTTGCTGTGTCTCTCTCTGTCAAATAAATAAGTAAAATCTTTAAAAAAAATAAAGCATCAGGAAGGGGTAAGACAAACAGGATACCAACAGCTCAGAACAAGGCTCCATAGACAAAGGTGTGGCAAAAATCGCATATGCTTGTTTCTCAAGGTGTGTTCCTTGCATTTTCCAGCACCTTTTGGAAACATGAGTGGTCTATGTAAGGTTCTGGCACAGTGAAAGATCCTTCCCCTAGGAAAGCTAATAACTTGCCATTTGACACTGATATTCCTATTTTCTTCCAACTCTTTACTTTCATCTAAAATACCGTAGGTGGGGGTGCCTGGGTGGCTCAGTCGTTAAGCATCTGCCTTCAGCTCAGGTCATGACCCCAGGGTCCTAGGATTTAGCCCCATGTCAGGCTTCCTGCTCTGCGGGGAGTCTGCTTCTCCCTCTCCCCTTCCTCTCTTCCATGCTCGCTCACTCTCAAATCAATAAATAAAATCTTTACAAAAATTATAAAATACCATAGGTGTTAGAGTCTATAATGTTCAACAACTAGTATTGTCCAACTGCGAGTATAGCTGGTTCCTCCTTCCTCCTCAGATTTATATACAGAAAAAATATTACCCATGATTCCACTATTCCATGTCAGTAGTGACTTTCACTTTTGTCTTCAGTATGCACAGTAAGAGAATTATTACTGGGCTCCCCTCCACCATTCAATAAGAACAAATTTTTCCAGTTTTTATAATTATAACTCTAATGCTGATGTAATAGTCTATTCAGTTGATATAGTACAGTTATATTGGGCATTTTGCTTGTTTCCAGTTTTTGCTGTTTTAAATAGCCTTCTAATATTAGTTATATATTATATAAATATAATACATATATTTGAGTATATATTTTATTATATACTTATTAATATATATAATTCACATACATTTCTTCATAATTGAATTGTATGTTTATATCCTTTGACCATTTATCTCTTGAGGTTTTAATATTTTTGAAGGTTTGAATAAATTCTATATTATATATACCAACTTTTTTTTATCATAATACAAATGTTCCCCAGTTTTTTGTTTTTTTATTTGTGTTGGTTTTTAATGTTACAGTCATTTTCTTGCTTGGTTTTTGGAGCCCTTTATTTTTTTCCTTTATGATTTCCATTATTGTTATAAGCTTTTCAGAGATATATCCCTCTGAAGATTTCATAAATATTTGATTATTTCTCCTTGCTTTGCTAAGAGTTAAAGTAAATATTTAACTCTTTAATCCACTAGGGGCTTACTCTGGTATGTGGTATGAAAGCCGATCCAAATCATGTTTGGTTTTGTGTTTGTTAGCCAGTTATCCTGGGAATTATTAAAGTATAGTTAGGCAATTATTAAATAACTATTACTTCCCCTAATTTTATGATATTTGTAAATTAATTTCTCTGTTCCATACTGCCTTATTTATTCATGTATTTATTTTTAAAGATTTATTTACTTACTTTAGAGAGAGAGCACAAGGTAGGGAAGGGTAGAGAGGGAGAGCGAGAGAATCTCAAGTATACTCCCTGCTGAGTGTGGAGCCTGACATGGGGCTCAGTCCCATGACACTGAGATCATGACTTGAGCTGAAACCAAGAGTCAGATGCTTAACCGACTGAGCCATCCAGGCACCCCTTATTTTAATAATTAATATGTTCTGTTTTAGGATTTCCTAGGAAGTAGATCATTATTATACTCACGGTTTCTTTGTTAGCATGGAACTTTAATATTTAACAAATAGTAAATAACTGTACTTGCTGAAATCTGTTTTCCTATATGATAACATAGTATATATCTTTACATATGGCTCATAAAATTCTTTGTAATTTTCTTTATAAATATTATAGACAATTCTAAGTTTATCCTCCCTCTTGTTTTGTTTCACTTAGCCATTTTGAATGGAATTTCTTCCTTTTTTATTATATTACTGAGCTGGTACTTACCATCATAAAAAAAGCTCCTAGTTATGGTAATTTCATTATAAAGCCAGTCACTTCGATAAACGCATATAGGCTAATAAATTGAAACAGATTCTTAGGATTTCTAGACCTGCAGTCACCCTTTAAAACATCACATTTCATTGGCACTGAGTACACACTAAATGGAGTCGCCATTATTTGCATATTGAAAAGAGCAGTGGGCTGCAGAGTCAGGAAATTTGAATCCTACTTTCATATCCTCAACTGAGAAAGGCATCTATGAAGCATCTTGTCTGGGTAGGCACCCTGCTAGGCATTTGACATAGGCCATCTGGCCTAAGGCTTAGAATAATCCTACAGAGTATACATACATCTTTAAATACCATAAACAAGGAAAGTAAAGTTGAGCGAATATAGTAGGCCAAGGCTGGCCCACGCTAGGCACAGGGAAGCAGTAAGAAATGGAATACCCAAGTGCCCAACTGTGGCAGTCTGTGGGTCCGCAGCCTGGCGTTCATGACCTGGCAGGTTTACCACTCCCTGGGGGCTGCAGTGACCAGTGAACTTCAGCCAAGGGTCTGTGAGGAAGGCGGGAGGCATGGAGAAGCTGCATCAGCTCACTTTCATCCTTATCTTGTACATACACTTTACACTTCTTGCCTTTGGGTCATGGTAAGTTTGTGTGAAACTGTCCTGAAGGAAGTCTGTGTTCCCATGCTCATCAGTCTTCCAACCCAAGTCAGCCCTTTGAGGTCTGGCATAACTCAGTGGGTTAAAGAATTTGTCCCAAATCATATGAATAATGATGGAGTAAGTGGCTTGCTCAACAGCCAGTGGTCTCTCCATTCTCCCAGTGATGTCTACACCAGTGATATGGGTCAGGCCGTTCATCTCACCTCTCAGTACTGTGATTTCCTCATCTGTCCAACAAAAGAGTCCGATAAATGGTCCAGTTCTGACAGGCTGGACAACTCTGCTATTAAATACACATTACATACTTCTTTTCTTCAAGACTGCAAATTTCTCAAAGTCAGAGACTGTACTTTCCACAATCTCGAATCACTCCTATTGCTTTGCATATAACAAGTGTCCAGTGAATATTGATGCAGAATGAGTGAATTACTCAAAGAAAATAGTCTTAGTGCTTTTCTCAGAAGACATTTGCAATGCTAGGACGCAAGGAACGCCTACGATATTTCACGTTTCAACTGTGGAGTCTTATAAAGACTGCATTGGTCATGAGCCTTTTCACGGGAAGATGCTTACTTAGCAAGGGTCAGCTTGTTTTCATCTGAAAAGAACAAAGGATGGAGCTTAGGGAAGCAGGAGGCCTAGGAAGGATCAAGGTGGGAGCTGTGGTAGATAGACTTTTCTCTAATAAAGCTGTTTGGGCTCTTTCTAGCTCTGTGCTGCTATGACAGCAACAATACGAAAAAACTGTGACTCTTCAAGTTTAACAAAACTAAAGCCTGTCCAAACCCAATCTTGAGTAAATGACAAACTATGGGGAGCATGCCTTAACATCTCCATTTGGGCATGCGCTAGGAACTACTACGTCTTAAGTTCCCGTCTATAATTGAAGCACACAATGTGTTCAATGCACCCTTAGAAGATAGAATTCAATCACTTCTGCATTATTTAATATTCTTTTTATGCCCCCCAAATCCAAAGGAAGATATACAGCCCTCGGAAGGCATAGCGTCTGTGGATTTTGTAATTACTGGTTTTAAACTTAAAATCTCACTGAAGTCTCTAGTTAACATTTCTATACCTTTATGTCCGAAACCTTCTGAGGAGATATCCCAACCACCCTCCTGTTCCTTTGACTACCCCCAGCCAAAGAGGGTAGGGGGGAACACCTGCATGGTCACTAGTTAACAAAATTTATTTTTGGAATAAAAACAGCAATTTGCAGCATGCTCAAGTGGCTGGCTTTGTCTCCTGAGTTTCACAAAAACCAGCATCATAGTGAGACAATACAATTATTGTTCTCTGAAACTAAAAGACCTGTCTGGGGGAAAATAAACATTTTTTGTTGGAAATTACTTAGCATATCAAACAATTTTTAACTGGGTTTTTTTAAAAAAGGAAGCCTAGGGAGGAAAAGCCATAATGAATCAAACTGTGTTTTAATGAGCTACAGTATTTGCAGGAAAAGAAAATATTATATAAACCAAGAAGAGCTTGCCTAACATGGTTATAAAGGAGAAGGATGAGAACCACAGCAACATGTTAGTGCTGCCCCAGTAAAGACCAACACTGGTGGTTTCCTTATCTTTTATTTATTTATTTATTTTTAAAAATTTATTTTTTTATTATTAGGTTATGTTAATAATCACCATACATTACATCAGTTTTTGATGTAGTGTTCCATGATTCACTGTTTGCGTATAACACCCAGTGCTCCATGCAGTACGTGCCCTCTTTAATACCCATCACCGGACTAACCGATTGCCCCACCCCCCTCCCCTCTAGAAACCTCAGTTTGTTTCTCAGAGTCCATAGTGTCTCACGGTTCATCTCCACCTACGATTTCCCCTCCTTCATTCTTCCCTTCCTGCTATCTTCTTTTTTTTTTTTAACATATGATGTATTATTTGTTTCAGAGGTACAAGTCTGTGATTCAACAGTCTTACACAATTCACAGCACTCACCATAGCACATACCCTCCCCAGTGTCTATCACCCAGCCACCCCATCCCTCCTACCCCCCACCACTCCAGCAACCCTCAGTTTGTTTCCTGAGATTAAGAATTCCTCATATCAGT